TTCGACCCATTGCTATGCCTCTTTCCCATCTACCCTCAAAGCTGTTTTATCTTCCCCAAAACGTCCCTTTTAGTTTATAAACCTTACCTCCTTTTCCCCTGATGTTTATTCTCCTTGACCCCATTACCTTTTACTCTAGTGTTTGCTACAATTTGGAAAGTGATCTGATATATCTGTGGCCCCTTTTAAAAACATGTACATCCTGAAGTCTACTCAACAGTCTTTTATCTCCCATACATAATCCAAAAAACTACTGTCATTTCGCCCTACATCATATCGTGTATACTTTTTTTCCTCTTTTTCTTAAAATAGGGTTTTAAACTATAACTAAACCCCTTTCTATACAAAGTTCAATCAAAGGGCTCCCATTATCATTTACACTGGCCCACCCCAAACTTACCTACCACACCCTCTCTAAAAGTTTGTCCTATTTTTAGCATTCAAGTCCCCTACCACAATTACTCTCTCACTTGGTTCAAAGGCTCCTATAATTCACTTAACATCTCCAAAATCTCTCTCTCTCCTCTGCATTCCTCTCTTCTCCAGGTGCATACACGCTTATTATGACCCACTTCTCCAAAATCCAAACCCTTACTTTAATCCACATAATTCTTGAATTTCACATTCATATTCTCTTTTCTCCTTCCATATTTGATCATTTAACATTACTGCTCCCCCTTCCTTTGCTCTAACTCTCTCAGATACTCCAGATTTAATCCCATTTTTTTCCCCCCCACTGAAACTCTCCTACCCCCTTCAGTTTTGTTTCGCTTGGGGCCCAGGACATCCAACTTCTTTTCATTCATAACATCAGCAATCATCTGTTTCTTGTCATCCGCACTACATCCACGCACATTTAAGCAACCCATTTTTTATAAATTTTTTCTTCTTCTCTTTTTAGTAATTGTATACAGGGGGGAAGGGGTTACTAGCCCTTTATATATATATTATATATTATATTATTTTATATATTTTATATATATTTTATATATATATATATATATATATAAATTTAAAAATTTGGGGAATCAAATTCAAAATGGGAATTGACACAGTTACTTTTTGCTGATGATACTGTGCTTATGGGAGATTCTAAAAAAAAAATTGCAAAGGTTAGTGGATGAGTTTGGGAATGTGTGTAAAGGTAGAAAGTTGAAAGTGAACATAGAAAAGAGTAAGGTGATGAGGGTGTCAAATGATTTAGATAAAGAAAAATTGGATATCAAATTGGGGAGGAGGGAGTATGGAAAAAAGTTTAATGTTTTCAGATACTTGGGAGTTGACGTTTTCGGCGGATGGATTTATGAAGGATGAGGTTAATCATAGAATTGTTGAGGGGAAAAAAAAGGGGAGTGGTGCGTTGAGGTATATGTGGAGTCAAAAAATTTTATCTATGGAGGCAAAGAAGGGAATGTATGAAAGTATAGTAGTACCCAAAAACCCCTTATATGGGTGTGAAGCTTGGGTGGTAAAAGCAGCAGCGAGGAGACGGTTGGAGGCAGTGGGGGATGTCCTGTTTAAGGGGGAAAAGTGTGGTGTAATATTATGCAGAAATTCGGAGTGTGGGAAATTAGGAGAAGCTGTGGAGTTAATAAAAAGTATTAGTCAGAGGGCAGAAGAGGGGTTGTTGAGGTGGTTTGGTCATTTAGAGGGGAATGGATCAAAGTAGAATGACATGGAAAGCATATAAATCTATAGGGGAAGGAAGGCGGGGTAGGGGTCGTCCTCGAAAGGGTTGGAGAGGAGGGGGTAAAGGAGGTTTTGTGGGTAAGGGGCTTGGACTTCCAGCAAGCGTGCGTGGAGCGTGTTAGATAGGAGTGAAGGAGACGAATGGTACTTGGGACCTGACGATCTGTTGGAGTGTGAGCAGGGTAATATTTAGTGAAGGGATTCAGGGGAAACCGGTTATTTTCATATGTCGGACTTGAGCCCTGGAAAGGGGAAAAGTACAATGCCTCCCACTTTAAAGGAGGGGTTTGGGATATTGGCAGTTTGGAGGGATTTTGTTGTGTATCTTTATATGTGTATGCTTCTAGACTGTTGTATTCTGAGCACCTCTGCAAAAACAGTGATAATGTGCGAGTGTGGTGAAAGTGTTGAATGATGATGAAAGTATTTTTTTTTGGGGATTTTCTTTCTTTTTTGGGTCACCCTGCCTCGGTGGGAGAGGGCCGACTTGTTGAAAAAAAAAAAAAAATATAATATATTATATATATATATATTTTATTATATATTTTATAATATTATATATATATTATATATATATATATATATATATATATATATATTTAAAATGTCTTTTATGCCCACTGTTTCTCCTGTTGATTTACTGAATAAACATGGGTTCCATTGGGATACAGTGGAACCTTGGTTTTCGTTTGCCCTGGTTATCATCGAATTTGGCTTTCAATGACTTTTTTCATCAAAATATTGTCCTAGTTTTCGTTTGTCATCTTGGTTTTCGTCGGCCGTCCCAAACGCGTCCACCTTCCCGTGCCTGCCTGCACCCACACAAAGCACCAGTCTGGCTTTGTTTCTCGTGCAGTAAACATTACTCTGCACATTCATATGAAACATTTCGTAATAATCCACAAGGCGAAAGAAAGTGTCCAAGCGAAGAATTTTGAAGGGTTTGAGAGTGACCCTGCAACCGTAAGCCTGTTGTGGAATCTGTTGTGGCACTGGGGAAGCCCATGGGGTTGGATGTGAGTGGCCAGGATGTGGAAGAGTTGGTGGACGCCCACAGGAAGAGCTGACCACTGTAGAGCTGCAAGACCTTCAACTGGAACAGCAGCAGATCGCAGCTGAGGCAATTGCTTCAGAGGAGGAGGAAGAGAGAGGGGAGAATGTGCCTTCTTCAGTGATTAAGGAAATTTGTGCAAAGTGGAATGAGGTGCAAAGTTTTGTGGAGAATTATCACCCTAACAAAGCTGTTTCAAGCCATGTCTACAACATGTTCAATGACAATGCCTTGTCCTATTTTATGCAAATCTTAAAGAGACGCCAGAAACAGTCCTCTCTGGACAGTTTTTTTGTGCGACAGAGGTCCATTGGCTCAAGCTGGTCCTAGTGCCAGTAAAAGACAAAGAAGGGAAGTAACCCAGGATAGGGACTTGATACCTGAAGCCCATATGGAAGGGGATCCCCCTTCAAAACAATAAATTCTCCTCCCTCTCCTCTCCTCCCATCTTCCATACGCCAACAAGAGTCTTCAATGAAGGTATGTAATAGTGATTTAAATGTTAATTTATCCATTAAAATTAGTCATTAGTCATTTCTCATTGTTTTCTGTATGTAAAACTATATTTATTTCTATAAAATGTATTTTTTGTTAATACTTTTGGGTGTCTGGAACGGATTAATTGGATTTTCATTATTTTGTATGGGAAATATTGCTTTAGTTTTCGTCGAATATGGTTTTTGTCCGACTCTCTGGAACCAGTTAAAAATGAAAACCAAGGTTCCACTGTATCTCTCTTTGTTTAAGGTCATAGGCATGAAAATTAAGGCATTGTGAGAAATTCTGCTATAGGTTCACAAATTATTTTAATGCTTACTTCTTATGAAATGCCCTATTATGATAAATTGGTTATAGATGAACCTTTATAATTTGTAAAAACTATTTCTTTTATGTGATTTTGGAAGTTTCACTGACATTCTCCTCATAAAAAAAGTTTTTTTTTTTTTTTTTTTTGCATGAATGTGAATAGCCCAAGTCTTTTAGTAGCAACATTCCTCATACTTCAAAATGCATACAGTATTTAAATCAGTTTCTCTTGCATATTCAGAGCCACTATATTAAAAATGTAAAGATTGTAAATAAATTAATAACATTTTAACTTCTACATTTCCTGCCATAAAGTTGACACAGGTGGCACTGGAAATAGTGGGGAAAGGTTGGCCAAAGGTGTTGGAAAGGCAATTGGTGAAAAACTAGATTCTTGGAAGCCACCCTCTGTGTCTATCAAGTGGAACACTTCACAAGGTACTTACTTTTTAGTGCATTAATTATTTTGATATTTATTAGGTAACTTTCATGTACTGTCAATTAATTCATGAATTGAAGTAGAGAGCCTTTCACAGAAGAGTACTGTATCCAAGTTAGAGTCACTCATGTAGGGAGCAGCTGCAAGGCTGGCAGCATGGTACAGTACAGTATTTTTCCCATTTTTTGTACCTGTCAGAAATACTGTACTGTAATTTCACAGTATACCTTTTAAAAAAAATCAGTTGTTCTGTGTTGATTTCATACCCCATTCATAATATTCTTCCAGCTTTAAAGCTGGCAATATGATATAGTAGAGTTTTTTCCATTTTTTGTACCTGTCAGAAATACTGCACCATAATTTAGTACCATACTTTTTAACATAAAATCAACTATATCATACAGAATTCCATACCCTACTGTACACTCTGGCAGTTTTAAGGCTGGCAGCACAGTACATTATCATATTACCTATTTCCATTTATCTTAGGTGTTAGAAATACCATACCATAATTTCGTACTGTGCTTTTTAACAAAAAAGTAGTATTCCATGACATATCATCCTTCCAACCTTGACATCTGATTTCATTTAGAGAAACCATACCACAGGCTGGGATAGAACCCGTGATCAGAGAGTCTCAAAACTCCAGACCATCGCATTAGCCACTGGACCAGCTAGCCACAATAAGATTCGTCCAACCAGGTATATTTCTACACCATAGGAAGGTTAGCATAGGCACCACTGTGGTGGCATTTGTGGTCACAGTGGTGCGTATGCTAACCTTCCTATGGTGTAGAAATATACCTAGTTGGACGAATCTCATTGTGGCTAGTTTGTCCAGTGGCTAACGCGATGGTCTGGAGTTTTGAGACTCTGTGATCGCGGGTTCTATCCCCGCCTATGGTATAGTTTGTTTGCAATCGTGTCATTACGATTTCGTGATTCATTTAGAGATCTTTGCAAAAGTGCAGATCTGGATGTCATATTCCCCTTGTCTGTTAATGCTGTTAGCAAGTTCAACTTTCTAGGTTTGCATGACAAATTGTAACAGTTATGCAAATACATATTATAGTAATACAGATTTGCACTGAAGATATCTTGAAATTAATGTTTTATCATATGTTTGTTCAGTTTTCCATGAGTAATGTTTAATCATTGGGATAATCTTAACCCTTAAACTGTCCAAACGTAGATCTACATTCATGTGCGTAGTTCTCGGATCTTCATTTTCCCCATTTGAAAGCATGTAAAAAAAAAAACGTACATCTACGTTCGGAGCGCCCCGCACGTGGACATAGATCTACGTTTGGACAGTTTAAGGGTTAAATATGTATTTCAATTTAATTAGTAGTACTTGAATAGAATAGTCAATTTCTAATGTGTTGGTAGTTAATTTTCAAGTGTATCCATTTATGGCAGTTTATGCAAATAAATATTCTTACTTTTTCATGCTGTATTGAGTAAATTGCAATCAATGTACACTTTTACTACCAGGTTAGAAGACCTAGATACTGTTTTGACCGCTTGGTGTTTTTAACCCTTTCAGGGTTGAGAGGCCCTCTCCTATACTTGTTCTCAGGGTCGAAAATTTTTCCAAAAAAATAAAAATTATTTTTTCGTGAAATGATAGAGAATCTTTTCCCGATCATAATGACACCAAAAGTATGAAATTTGATGGAAAACTTATGGAATTATGCTCTCACGAAGTTAGCGGTCTTGACGATGTTTACGCATCGGCGATTTCTCTCACTTTGAGAACTATTTTCAGCCAATTCCAATGTACCAGTCGACAAAAATCATAGCTATTTCAAGAAAACAGCCAATTACCGATTTCAGCTATCCAATAAAGTGGTCAGAAATTAGCAATTTTACCAATTTCACACATATTTCAAAAGATGCTAATTTCAAAATAGGGTCCAGAATAAACAAGACAGACATTCCTTGCACTAAAATAACATTTTCTCTGTTCATTAGTCACATCTCCAGGCCCCTCTTACATTTCTTTTGCTTTCCACTTTGAACTTTTATTCTCAAAAAAAAAAAATAGAAGATTTACTGTTATGCAGACTACTGCATTAGTGTAAAAGTGGTATAAATAATATCAGCACACTTGTGAAAGAATATTAGACTCACCAGTTGACGTGTATTGGACGCATGGCTTCATTTGTTTACTCTTAAACATTGGCAAAAATCGAACATTTCTGCTACTTTGAGCTCAATTTCAAGGTACTTTTCATTGTGAAACCAATCAAAATCATCTCAATTTCTGTAATATTCTTCCATTCTATAAAATAAGACCAAGAAAATGAGAAAAAAATCATAAATACCATGAGGAAATGCACTGCAAAGTCGCTGTTTTAAACCAAAAACACGGTTGGAGTTTTTTTTCTCATTATGCACTGTGTGCTGCAGGATTTTCTTATACTGTGCACACTGACCATGCAGACCCTTTGTTTCATATGTAGGCCTACCAGCTTACTCTTGCTAGATTTGAAGGTGCTAGAATTTACGTGTGTACTAGTAAGGCACCAACCCTGGCGTGCAAGCCATACTGGTACGACACCGACCCTGAAAGAGTTAAGGGGAGAGGGCAAATTCTCACCCAGTCATGCAGGATGCACATTTCTTACTATCATGGTAGTAATATTAGTGCCCAGATATTTTTTTGTGAAAGTGGAGTTTTATATGTTTAAACAGGCTTTACACTTTAAGCTAATAAGTCAGACATGCCTACTACACAAAAGTGGATGGCGGGGGAAAAAAGAACGGTTAGTTTATTGTAATTACCTTATTATTCCTCTTTGAGTCTGCAGGGGCGAGTGCCAATTTTAAGGTATGACTATAATTAGCTCCTTTCATATGTATGTATATTGAACTTTGTGTATGCGTGTATGCATATGGACAAATACAGTACAAATGTTTATTCATAAAAAGACATTATAAGCATAGATGCAGTTTGTAAGTTTATATTAAGTATTATAATACTACGTGTTGTAAGAGGCGACTAAAATGCCAGGAGCAAGGGGCTAGTAACCCCTTCTCCTGTATATATTACTAAATGTAATAGGAGAAACTTTCGTTTTTCCTTTTGGGCCACCCCGCCTCGGTGGGATACGGCTGGTGTGTTGAAAGAAAGAAATACTACACGAATAGTTTTTGGGACCTGATGAGCTGTTGGAGTGCGAGAAGGGTAGTATTTTGTAAAAGGATTCAGGGAAACTGGTTAGCCAGACTTGAGTCCTGGAAATAGGAAGTACAATGCCTGCACTTTAACCCTTTGACTGTTGAAACCCCAAATCCTGAGGTGTCTCCTGGTGTCACAAAATATTTGAAAATTTTTTTTAATTTTTTCTAATGAAATGATAGAGAATCTTTTCCCAATGGTAATGACACCAGAAGTACGAAATTTGATGGGAAAACTTACGGAATTACACTCTAGCGAAGTTAGCAATCTCGGTGATATTTATGAATCGGCAATTTCGCCCACTTTGAGCCCTATTTTAAGCTAATTCCATTGTTCCAGTTGAGCAAACTCATAACTATTTCTTTAGAACTCCATTTGTTCTATCGATTGAGTACAAGAAACTGTCTATTTACCGATTTCAACTACCCAATAAAGTGGTCAGAAATTGGCAATTTGGCCAATTTCACACAAATTAAAAAATATGCCAATTTCAAAATAGGGTAGGGTACAGAATGAACAATGCAGACATTCCCGGCTCTAAAATAATATTTTCTTTGTTCATCAGTCACATATCCAGGCCCCCTCTGATATTACTCTTGCCTTCTATTTTCAATTTTTATTCAAACAAAAAATAGAAGATTTACTGTTATGCAGACTACTGCAATATTGTAATAATTGTATAAATATTGTCAACCCATTCATGACTGCATATTAGAATGGCTAGTTGGACATTTATTGGACAATGACATCATTTGTTTACTTTTGAACATTGGCAAAAATCAAACATTTTTCTACTTTGAGCTCCATTTCAAGGTCCTTTTCATAGTAAAACCAATTAAAATCATCTCTATTTCTATAAAATGTTTTCCATTCTATCATAAGTGACTGAAAACAAGAATATAACCATAAAAACTACATGAAAATACACTTCAAAGTCAGCACTTTAATCCAAAAACACTGTTGGAGTTTTTTTTTTCTCATGCACTGTGTGCTGCAGGATTTTTTTATATGGTGTACACTGACCACACAGACCCATTCTCTCACATGTGGGCCTACCAGCATTCTCCTGCTTGATTTGAAGCCGCTAAAATTTTTGCGTATACAGTGGACCCTCGACCAACGGCATTAATCCATTCCAGAGAGCTAGCTGTTAGTCGAATTTGCCGTTGGTCGAATTAATTTTCCCCTTAAGAAATAATGAAAATCCAATTAATCTACTCCAGACAGCCAAGAGTATTAAAAAATTAATTTTTTTTCTACATGAAATATACATTTCCCTACACAGAAAACAATTAGACATGCACAATACATACATAAATAAATACTAAAATGACACTTACCTTTATTGAAGACTATTGTTGATTGATGAGACTGTTTTTCTTGAACACTCTGGGATTTTCACAGTGTACATGAGTAAAGGCTTCACTTTGCAATCCCCACTAGCATTACAGCAAAACAAAAAAAGTTAGCCTGTCTTTTATAGGCTTGTGTCTTGGGAGTGCCTTTTACGTCTGAGTAATGTAGGTCCTGTTTGGCATTTTCTTCCAGAACAGGCCTGTTTCATCACAATTGAACACTTGTTGGGGTTGGAATTTTTCAACTTCGCCATGCCTTATCACACTGTGTATGCCGCTACAATTCTAAAATCTCTCAAACCAACCTTTGCTGGCCTTAAATTCACCAATATGAGCATTAGTTCCAGGCATTTTTTCCTGTTCACCTGGGTGCTAGTAGACTGGTGTGGGTCGCATCCTGGGGGACAAGATTAAGGACCCCAAAGAAAATAAGTTAGACTCCTCGATGACGCACTGACTTTCTTGGGTTATACTGGGTGGCTAACCCTCTGGGGTTCATTGTTTCTCGGTATTCTCGATAAGCAACACCAACAATAGTCTCTCCACATCTTCGAGTAGTTCAGCTGACGGTGGCGCAGCAGCAGCTGATGGTGTTGTAGCAACAGCTGATGGTAGTGCAGCAGCAGCTGCCGGTGTTGCAGCAGCAGCTGACGGTGGTGCAGCAACAGCTTACGGTAGTACATCAGCAGCAGCAGTTGATGGTGTTGCAGCAACAGCTGACGGTAATGCAGCAGCACCTGACAGTGTTGCAACAGCAGCTGACCGTTGTGCAGCAACAGCTTATGGTAGTACAGCAGCAGCAGCAGCTGATGGTGTTGCAGCAACAGGTGACGGTAGTGCAGCAGCAGCTGACAGTGTTGCAGCGGCAGGTGACCGTGGTACTATAGTATTTTGAGAGTATTTCTCACCCTTTGTAGCACTGCTAAATAAGCCCATGATGGCTTATTTAGCAGTTGCAAGCACTAAAAACACTGGAATAATACAAAATATATTGCAGGTACACTTGGAATCGACCGCAACGGCTTGTAAACATTGGCACACTGGCTACACACGGAGTCTTGGAGTGGCTGGGCCCGCTCAGGCCGCATGCCATTAGATGAGTTTTTCGTTGTTGGTAAAGCCAATTTTTTGACGCCAAAGAGCGCCGTTGGATGAATTTGCAGTTACTTGATGCTGCTGTTGGGTGGGGGTCAACTGTATATACGTCAAACACAGTGGCTTGTGAGACATATATATACAACCGAAACAGTCAAAGGGTTAAAGGAGGCGTTTGGGATATTGGCAGTTTGGAGGGACATCTAAACTGTTGTATCTGAGTGCCTCTGCAAAGACAGTGATTATGTATGAGTGATGGTGAAAGTGTTGAATAATGATGAAAGTTTTTTCTTTCTTTTTGGGTTTTTCTTTCTTTCTGGGTCACCCTGCCTTGGTGAGAAACTGCCGATGTGTTAAATAAAAAAAAAAACTACACACTCAGCATTTCAGGCAAAACTTGCTTGTCTGTGTTTTAGTGGTTAAGTTCCAAATCCTGAGCTCTCTCTTAATCTTCAGTCAACTGAATCCTTATTTAAAGTCTGCTTTGCCATCTCTCTTCCTTGTACATCTCATTTCTTTGCTAAATTTGCCCTGAACAAATTCATTTTAATATGTCTTTGGCTCATTTGGGTATTAAGGGTTCTTTTCATCTCAAATAGTGTATAGTATTTTTTCTTATTATGCCCCATACCCCTAAGTATTTTTTTATATTATCTTATTTATTTTAAGTAATAGGAGGGTCAGCTCTCTGTCCTTTCTTAGAGCTTGTGTTTTTCAGCTTGGAGACCACTTTAGTGGCAAACATCAGAGCTTTTTTAAACTCCTTGATGTTTGATGAGGTGAGGACTGCATTTTGGTGATGCATACTTGAGTATTAATCTAGGTTATTCTTGTAGAGTATGGAGTCAGAATATCTTAGGTGAGGGTTGAAGGCTGGTTTTGCATAGTTGAAGATTGGTCTTGTGAACTTTTACCGAGTATGAGACGAAGACACATTTCATGTGTACATATTTTCATGTCTGTCCATCTGTGCATATTTATATACAAGACATAAATTTGTTTATATAGTATACCATAATTTATTTTCTAATTTATTGAGGTTTATAATAGGAGGATTGCAAGAGGAATATGAATATGAGAATCAAAACTTCATGTCTGTCAGAGAAACTAGAAATGGAACTGATCAAAGTACAGTATTGGTGATGTACTTGAGATATAGGTTAGTTAATAAGCATTTTTGCATAATTTCTCCTAGTAAGATAATATTTTTGATCAGTTGGAGTGTTGAACAGATCACTTGGTATGTCAGCTGTGTCACATACACAGGCCAGGCAAAAACACTGAATATCATCAGTTTGAAATTTATTTTCTTTTACAATCCTGAAAACATAAACTTTTATTATATAAGATGCAGATCTTCAGTTATTCATATATGATCCCTTATGCCTTTCCATTAAATTTGTATATTTATATGCAAATTTGTATCTTTCCAGGACATGGTAGTGGTTCTTGTGTTCAGTGTGCTGCTAAAGACAATGAAATTTCTCAGTTGAAGAAACGACTAGAAGTAAGTTTTCATAATTAACCTATTGAAAATGTCTTTTCATTATACAACTCTGCTACTGGACATTATTCTTTTGTACTTAAAAGCCAACTTTGTATTTTAAAGAACTGGTATTAAACCATAGCCATATTGGTGCTGGTATGAGTATGAGACTTACTGGATTTTTGTATGAAAAGTTTGAGGCTCATGTAGTATTATGTGCATTACTCTTTAGATTAATTTGATTAGCAGTATTGTACATTTGTTATTTTTGTGCTTCATTTTATTGATTATTTGTATTATTTTAATACATTTATTTGATTAACCCTTTGACTGTTTTGGTCGTACTGTATATATACGTCTTACGAGCCACCATGTTTGACGTATATATACTCAAAAATTCTAGTGGCTTTAAATCAAGCAGGAGAAAGCTGCTAGGCCCACATGTGAGAGAATGAGTCTGTGTGGTCAGTGTGCACCATATAAAAAAAAACCTGCAGCACACAGTGCATGATGAGAAAAAAAAAACTGACCGTGTTTTTTGATTAAAACACCGAATTTGCGGTGTATTTTCATATAGTTTTTATGGTTATATTCTCGTTTTTTGTAGTCACATTTGATAGAGTGGAAAACATATTATAGAAATAGAGGTGGTTTTGATTGGTTTTACTAGGAAAAGGACCTTGAAATGGAGCTCAGAATAGGGGAAATGTTTGATTTTTGCCAATGTTCAAGAATAAACAAATGATGTCATTGTCCAATAAATGTCCAACTAGCTATTCTAATATGCAGTCATGAATGGGTTGATGTTATTTATACAATTATTACAATATTGCAGTAGTCTGCATAACAGTAAATCTTCTATTTTTTGTTTGAATAAAAATTCAAAATAGAAGGCAAGAGTAATATCAGAGGGGCCTGGAGACGTGACTGATGAACAAAGAGAATGTTATTTTAGAGCTGGGAATGTCTGCATTGTTCATTCTGGACCCTATTTTGAATTTGTCATATTTTTTAATTTATGTGAAATTGGCCAAATTGCCAATTTCTGACCACTTTATTGGGTAGTTGAAATCGGTAAATGGGCAGTTTCTTGTACTCAATTGATAGAACAAATGGAGTTCTAAAGAAATAGTTATGAGTTTGGTCCACTGGAACACTGGAATTAGCTTAAAATAGGGCTCAAAGTGGGCGAAATCACAGATTCGTAAATATCGCTGAGGTCACTAACTTCGCTAGAGTGTAATTCCATAAGTTTTCCATCAAATTTCATACTTTTGGTGTCATTACCATCGGGAAAAGATTCTCTATCATTTCATAAGAAAAAATAAAAAAAAAATTCAAATATTTTGCGATGCCAGGAGACACCTCAGGATTTGGGGTTGCGACAGTCAAATGGTTAATACTGTACAGTATACATCAGTTTAGGGAATTATTAAATTCAGATTTTCTGCAATGATTTTTTCCTCTATATTTCATTTTTTCAGAATTCTTATTCTCGATACAACCTCACACTACCACCAGATGACACAGTCAACCGAATACTTCTAGGTCAACCATATTCTCTAGAATGTTATCGTAGTCATGAAGATAAACTTGCCTTATTGGACACTGCTCTGAGTACTATGGATGGCAGTGCAATATTAGCAACATTGCTTCAAATGAAGAACACTGTCAAAAAAAGTATATTTATTAAGGTGAGCACTGAATTCAGAACTGTTGCTGTTTCATTTTTAAAAGTTGCATGGTGATACATATGACTTACATAAGCAATAATTAATTTACACAATGGTCAAATTATTTTTTTAACACCGAGGCAGGGTGACCCAAAAAGAAAGAAAAACCCAAAAAGAAAGAAAAGCTTTCATCATTCAAAACTTTCACTATCACTCATACATAATCACTGTCTTTGCAGATGCACTCAGATACTACAGTTTAGACATCCCTCCAAACTGCCAATATCATAAACCCCTTTAAGTGCAGGCATTTTACTTCCCATTTCCAGGACTCGAGTCCGGTAAACGGTTTCCCTGAATCCCTTCACAAAATATTACCCTGCTCACACTCCAACAGCTCTTCAGGTCCCAAAAACCATTCATTTCCATTCACTCCTATCTAACATGCTCACGCATACTTACTGGAAGTCCAAGCCCCTTGTCCACAGAACATCATTTACTCCCTCCCTCAAACTTTTTCGGGGACGACCCCTACCCTGCCTTTCTTCCCCGACAGATTTATACGCTCTCCAAGTCATTCTACTTTGATCCATTCTCTATATGACCAAACCACCTCAACAGCCCTCTGACTAATACTTTTAGTAACTCAACACCACCTAATTTTATACTACGAATTCTCTGCATAATATTTACACCACACATTGCTCTTAGACACGACATCTCTACTGCCTCCAGCCGCCTCCTCGCTGCACCATTTACAACCCATGCTTCACACCCATATAAAAGTGTTGGTACCACTATATTCTCTTACATTCCCTTCTTTGCCTCCACGGATAATGTTCTTTGTCTTCACAGATACCTCAACGCACCACTCACCTTTTTTCCTTCAATTCTATGGTTTACCTCATCCTTCATTAACGAAATGTGCTGACAAGTTAACTCCCAAATACGTATCGGAAAACATTCACTTCTTCCATACTTCCTCCCTCCAATGTGATATCCAATTTTTTCTTTATCTGAATTGTTTGATACCTTCATCACCTTACTCTTATCTATATTCACTTTCAACTTTCTACCTTTACACACCCAAACTCATCCTCTAACCTTTGCAACTTTTCTTTAGAATCTCCCATAAGCACAGTATCATTAGCAAAAAGTATCTATGTCAATTCCCATTTTGTATTTGATTCCCCATAATTTAATCTCACCCCTCTCCCCAACACCCTAGCATTTACTTCTTTTACAACCCCATCTATAAATATGTTAAACAACCATAGTGACATTACACATGCCTAAGACCTACTTTTATTGAGAAGTAATCTCCCTCTCTCCTACACACCCTAACCTGAGCCTCACTATCCTCATAAAAACTCTTTCCAGCATTAAGTAACTTACTACCTATTCCATACACTTGTTTATTTCACTCCAAATTTTTTTCTTATTCTCAGCAAAATTTCTTGACACTGCCTCTCCCACTCTTATCATTTGCTCTCCTTTTGCACTCTCTTGCCACTCTCTTTACCTTTCTTTTACTCTCCATATACTCTGCCCTTCTTATATCACTTCTGCTTTGTAAAAACCTCTCATAAGCTACCTTTTTCTCTTTTATCGCACCCTTTACCTCATCATTCCACCAATCACTTCTCTTTCCTCCTGCATCCACCCTCCTATAGCCACAAACTTCTGCCCCACATTCTAATATTGCATTTTTTTTAGACTATCCCCTCCCTCTTCAACCCCCCCCCCATCACTACCTGTACTTGCACTAGCCCACCGTTCTGCCAATAGTTGCTTATATCTCACCCTAACTTCCTCATCCCTTAGTTTATAAACTTTCCCCTCTCTCTCACTTACTGTTGCCATTTTCCTTTTGTCCCATCTTCCTCTTATTCTAACTGTAGCTACAACTAAATAATGATCCGATATATCTGTTGCCCCTCTATAAACATGTACATCCTGGAGCCTACCCATCAACCTTTTATCCACCAATACATAATCTAACAAACTACTTTCATTATGTGCTATATTGTGTCCTGTATACTTATCCTCTTTTTCATAAAATATGTATTACTTATTACCAAACCTCTTTCTACACATAGGTCAAATAAAGGCTACCTATTTTCATTTACCCCTGGCATCCCAGATTTACCTACTATTCCCTCTACAACATTTTTACTCATTTTAGCATTGAGATCCCCAACCACAAGCACTCTCTCACTTGGCTCAAAACTCCCCATGCACTCACTCAGCAATTCCCAAAATCTCTATCTCTCCTCCAGGTGCATAAACACTTACTATAACCCACTTTTTACATCCAATCCTTATTTTACTCTACACAATCCTTGACTTTATATATTTATATTCCTTCTTTTCCTGCCATAACTTATCCTTCAACATTATTGCTACTCCTTCCTTGGCTCTAACTCTATTAGAAACCCCTGACCTAATCCCATTTATTTCTCCCCACTGAAACTCTCCTACCCCCCTTCAGCTTTGTTTCACCTAAAGCCAGAACATCCAGCTTCTTTTCATTCATAACATCCACAATCCTCTCTTTCTTATCATTTGTACTGCAACCATGCACATTCACACATCCCACTTTGTAGGCTATACTGAAAAAGGAGTTACTAACCCACTGCTCCTGGCATTTTAGTTGACTCTTACAACATGCATGGCTTACGGAGGAAAGATTCTTGTTCTACATCCCCATGGAAGTGGAATAAGATACCATGAGATACCATGAGCATTGCTCTGTTCTTGTAGCTACAAGTAGGTAATTACTAAGAGGAAATTACTGATGTTATATCTTGATGAAACTGGGCTGTTTTTATTAACATTTTTGAGAATAAGCTAACATGGACAACAGCATCATTTGCCCTCTTTTAGAGTACAGATTTTGTATTTCTACTTCCAGTACTCAGTCTTGCTAACCAGTTTATTCTTAATCCCTTCATATATATTACCTCATTCACTCTCCATGAGCAAGTTAGTTGTCTACAACCACTTGCCTGCACTCATTCTGATCTGATATGCTCACACAAGCCCCTAGCACTAAAAACCACCTTCACTGCCTCTGTACAGCCTTTCCTGGGATAATCTTTACCCCTTCTTTCCCTTCACCCCAGATTTATATACCCTCCCAGTCATCCTATTTTGCTCCATCTTCTCTAGAGTGCCCAGACCACTACAACTATCCAACCTCAGCCCCTTGAAGTATCCTTTTGGTTGTCACACACCTAATCTCCATGCTCCAGATTCTCTGCATAACATTCACACCACACATCGCCCTCAAATACTCCATCTCCATTGACTCCAAGTCTGCAATCAAGTTTGAAAATTTAGAAATTGCTAGTAGAGAAATTCCTAGGCTGTTCATGGACAACAAATTAAAATTTAATGTTTGTATCCCACTCATATCTAAAAATGTATCAAAATCTGTAGGTGTACTTTCCAAAATTCACTTCTTAGTTTCCCAATCTATACTGCTAGCACTACTGCTTTCTTGTGTGCCCATACAAGACTTACATAATTTCTACCTGGAATTCTACCTCAATTGTCCATCTCAAATCAGTCATCATGCAACAAAAGGCAGCTGTCAAGACCTTTACAGACTCAAACTGTAGGCAACACAATGCCTATTCAAATCCCTAAGCCTTCTAAATATCAGTGCCATATATATTTACTACTGTTCTCTCCACACCTCTATGATACCACATTGCAGTGCAGATTCTGACCTAAGACACTTCATGTCAAACTGTAACAGAACACAGAGGCATCACATTCAAAACAAATACCTCTGATATTTCTAGTCCTTGGTAGTAGGTTGGTAAACAGCAGCCACCCAGGGAGGTACTATTGTCCTGCCAAGTGAGTGTGAAATGGAAGCCTGTAATTGTTTTACATGATGGTAGGATTGCTGGTGTCTTTTTTCTGTCTCATAAACATGCAAGATTTCAGGTACATCTTGCTACTTCTACTTACACTTAGGTCACACTGCACATGCATAGACAAGTATATGTTTACACATGCCCCTTTGGATTTTCTTCTATTTCATTACTAGTTCTTGTTCTTGTTTATTTCTTCTTATCTCTATGGGGAAGTGGAACAGAATTCTTCCTCCATGAGCCATGCATGTCATAAGAGGCAACTGAAATGCGTACTAAATTTAAAAGGAGAAACTTTTGTTTTTCCTTTTGGGCCACCCGCCTCAGTGAGATATGGCCACTTTATTGAAAGAAGAAGATTTCTAGTCTTTATCTAAATCTCTGTGCAAATGAGTAAGTGTGTTCCTTTTTTTTTCAGCATTCACAGTTTTGTTTCTGTATTGTCAGGTTAAATAATAGGGATAAAGGCATTTCATTTTATTGCAATATTTAATAAATATTATTATAACAATATGTGGCTTTTATGGTTTATTTATACTGGGGACTTGGAGATATTTTATTTATTGTTATTAGTTATTTGAATTTAAGCTAAAAAGTTGACATTTAATATAAATTTAAAATGATATAGATCTGTTTGGCATTTAAAGAAATGATGTAGAAATTAGCTAGGTTGAAGCATGTTGAATATACGATTATTTGGGTCAAAGATGTGATAGTAACTTCTTGTTAATGTATGTGTCAGGAAGAATCACTTGATAAGGAAAACTTGATTCTGAAGGACATGTTTTACATTCCAAGAACATTATTATAAGCAAGAAAAAACATGGCATAATAATTAATTAGTCCTTGCTTATTTTTTTTATATATAGGAGATGCAAATAAGGCCACATGCAAGTCATCTGTACATAAGTTACCTAAAGAAACGTCGCAACTACGCAGAAGCCATCGATTTTCTGGGGTAATTTGATTCTGTTTATTTATATGTTTGATTAATATTAAAAAGATAGTCATCTTTCTGTATCAAGTGTTTTTGCTAGTCTGAGATGGGTGGCTAATTGCAAAATTTTTTGTAAAAATGTTTTGCAAGGTAATTTTGTCTGTTCCTTTAAGTCATGATACACATGAAACACAGTATTATTCTTTTATAAACTTTCATTGTTTTACTCTCAAAAATAATTAAAACTATCACAATTGCCAAGTTAAAGTAATGTACAGTGGACCCTCGGTTATCGGCCATTCCACCTATCGGCCAACTCGGTTATTGGCCGATTTTCGGCTTCCAGTTATCGGCCGTTATTTTGCTTATCGGCCATATTGGACGCATCCACCGGCAGTCACTCGTGAGTTCCTGAGTCAGTGTGGCTGTGTCTCTAGGCAAGTGAAGAAGCTTCTGCTCATTCATCCAAACATTTTGGTATAATCCATTGTTTTTGGTGGTTATTGATTAAGTGCAACTGTGAAATAAGTAACCAAGGCTCCAAAGAAAGTTCCTAGTAATGTACCTTTGGTAAAGAAAGTGAGAAACATGATAGAATTCAAGGCAGGCAGGCATAGAGACAAGAAGTGCAGCAAGCATGCAGGGGGTGTAGCAGGAAGGCAGGGAGTGTAGCAGGCAGGCATAGAGGCAAGGAGTGTAGCAGGCATGCAGGGAGTGTAGCAGGCATGCAGGGAGTGTAGCAGGAAGGCAGAGAGTGTAGCAGGAAGGCAGGGAGTGTAGCTGGCATGCAGGGAGTGTCGCAATGTTTATATGCGATGTATGTTTAATAATAATCACTCTTGGGCACATTAAATGTCTTATTTTAGGTTAATATAGACATTTTCATTAATCCATATATATGATATTTTCTTCAGAATTATATAAGAAACACGTTACATTGCATATAGCATATAAACGTAGCATATATACATGCAATGTTTATATGCTATTGAGTGGAGAGTCGGGTGGAGAGTAAACATTATGTTTTCTCTAATTCAGCATTAGAGAAAACTGTAAATCTGGCGTCTCACCCAGTAACCGCTCATCATATGCGTTTGTTTACAATTCTCGGCATGAATTATTCATTACTTCTCCCATTGTTTATTATGGCATCTAAAGGTAGTTGTTAGAAACGATTAAACTCAGTGAACATGGTAATAATATGGCTGTTTGGTGTAGCCCAGGGGGTGGGGAGGCTACATACGTGTACTGTACCTACATCTTCCGCTGCCTACACTGACTTCTTACAAATAAATACTACTCACCTCTCGCCCTACAATAAGACTACAAATATTTTAAGATAAGTAATGAATGTACTCATTGTTTTCTGTATGTAAAACTATAGTTAATCTTTAAAAAATGTATTTTTTGCTAATATTTTTGGATGTCTGAAATGGATTAGTTGGATTTACATTAATTCTTATGGGAAATATTATTTTGGTTTTCGGCTTTTTTGGTTTTAGGCTAACCTTCTGGAATGGATTACGGCTGATAACCGAGGGGCCGCTGTACATAAATAAAGCTCTGGGTCACCCTGCCGTGGTGGGAGATGGTTGTTGTGTTAAAAAAAAAATGAGCTCTGACCTGGTGCATCCTGTGGAAATACTGTACAGGTCTCCCTCAACATTCACGAGGGTTAGGGGATCAAGAGCCTCGCGAATGTTGAAAAACCGTGAATGTTTGGTGCCCCAATATATTGTAGGGAAATATAATACAATACTGCTTCCTAAACTTGTTGAACCATGAACAATCTTAAAATACATGAAAACGTCGTAAATTGTACTAAATACATACATTATGCCTTAACAACATGTATGTTATTAAATACTACTGCCTCCACCACTGCAAGTCCCTACTACCCTCCCTCCGACCCCCACAACTGGCAGCCAGCCCTCCCACCACTGTGTGGTGAGTGTTTTGTTTGTTCATTATTTGCTATTAAACTACAGTATAAATAATGTCAACCCATTTATGACTGCATATTGGAATGGCTATTCGGACAGGTATTGGAAGGTGACATCATGTGTTTACTCTTGAACACAGCAAAGAATCAAACATTTGTGCTACTGCTAATAATAATAATAATAATAATAGTAATAATAATAATAATAATAATAATAATAAAAATAATAATAATAATATAATAAAAATAATAATAATAATAATAATAATAATAATAATAATAATAATAGTAATAATAATAAATACGATAGAATTGAAGAAGGAAATTGTACAAAAATACAAGGGCTGAAGCAGTGGTGGAGGAAGTGGTTGACGCAGCGTCAGTGTGGCTTTGTTTATGCTGGAGTGAGTATTAGTCTCTGTGCTCTTCCAAACATTTCACAATAATTCATTGTAATTGGTGCTTGTAGATTGAGTGTGACTGGAGTGGTTGAGGCAGTGGTAGAGGCAGTGGGTGAGGCAGTGGGTAAGGCAGTGGTAGAGGCAGTGATAGAGGCAGTGGGTGAGGCAGTGGGTGAGGCAGTGGGTAAGGCAGTGGTAGAGGCAGTGATAGAGGCAGTGGGTGAGGCAGTGGTATTTACTAACATATATGTTATAAATAATAATAGTACATGTTAATATTAATAACTTTTATAATAATAATAATAATAATAATAATAATAAATGTTATTCATAATGTACTATTATTATTTATAACATATATGTTAGTAAATATCACTGCCTCTATCACTGCCTCTACCACTGTCTAATACTCACTCCAGCATAAACAAAGCCACACTGACGATGCGTCAACCACTTCCTCCACCACTGCTTCAGCCCTCGTATTTTTGTACAATTTCCTTCTTTAATTCTATCGTACTTATTATTATTATTATTATTATTATTATTATTATTATTATATCAATATTATTATTATATTAATATTATTATTATTATTATTATTAGCAGTAGCAGAAATGTTTGATTCTTTGCTGTGTTCAAGAGTAAACACTTGATGACACCTTCTAATACCTGTCCGAATAGCCATTCTAATATGCAGTCATGGATGGGTTTACATTATTTACACTGTAGTTTAATAGCAAATAATGAACAAACAAAACACTCACCACACAGTGGTGGGAGGGCTGGCTGCCAGTTGCAGGGGTCGGAGGGAGGGTAGTAAGGACTCGTGGCGGTAAACTTAAATATGATTTGGCAGCTGGGAATTTGGCGGTTGGGAATTCGTGAATGTGTGAAGCCCGCGAAAGTTGAAAACGCGAATGTTGAGGGAGACCTGTATATGATTGCTTTCACTTCCCTGTTCTTTGTTGTTGTGAGTAAGGTAACATTTATGAGGAGATTCCGGAAACCTGTTTAACTGGGCTTGAGTCCTGGAGGTGGGAGGTAGAGTACCTGCATCCTAAAAGAGGTAGGGATGTTTCAGTTCAAGAGATCATTTGAACTGTGATGTCTGTACATTTTTGGCAAGCCAGCTACTGAATGAATGATGGTAATTGAGTGTTTTTAGATCACCCTACCTTAGTGGAAGTTGGCCAGTGTTAAAAAAAATTTAAAACTGTATGTTTTTTTAAATTATCAGACACCATGCATGCATATATGTTTTGTTTGTAGTAGACATACCAATACACAGTTAGTATGCCTGGATTAATGCTGTGCTATTTTATTTTTTAAAATTAATTTAATATTTTTATTCTGTGACTGCTCACCTCACTTTAACACCCACTTGTTCAACAATCCCTGTAGTCCTGGTTCAATTATCCCTCATTTATAGTCTTATTATGGTGTAACCTGTATACAGTAGGGCCCCACTTATATGGCAGATTAGGTTCCGGGCTACTGCTGGAAAACAGACATCGCTGGAAAGCAGAACACCATTTTTTTCCACTTACAGTTAGCAATAGAACTAGGCATTAAAAAACAATAAAAGTAAAATACACACACAGTACACTCATTATTTACCTCAAAATATTTGTAGTCTTAATGTAGGGCAAAAAGTGAGTAGTATTTACTGTAAGAAGTCAAGTGTGGTAGCCCTCCTGGCCACCCAACCCACACATAATATACTATGACAACGCTTAAAGCTCCCTAGAGTGATAAAATGCATATACAGTACACTCATTACTTACTTTAAATATTTGTAGGTATTAAAGTGTCTTTAATGTAGGTGAGAGGTTTTGGGAAAAGTATTTATTTGTAGGGAAGTTGATTGGAGTGGTACAGTTGGAATAAATAAAGACCAGCACTTCATTCTCATGGTACTTTTAGAAGCATTGAGCTCTGACAGATTATTATTATTTTTATTTATTATTACCAGTTATTTATTTTTATTAAGTTATTGTTATTACATATCTATTATTAAAGTTTTATGTTATATTATTTTTTTTTTATTAATCACACTGGCGATTCCCACTAGGCAGGTGGCCGAAAAAGAAAAACTTTCACCACATTCGCTCATCACTGTCTTGCCAGAAGGGGCTTTTCACTACAGTTTTTAATCTGCAACATTTAACACCCCTCTTCAGAGGCAGGCACTGGTACTTCCCATCTCCAGGACTCAAAGTCCAGCATGCTGGTTTCCATGACCCTTCATTATTTGTTACTTTGCTCACACTCCAACAGCCACGTCAAGTATTAAAAACCAATTTTGTCTCCATTCACTCCTTATCAAACACGCTCACGCATGCCAGCTGAGTCCAAGCCCCTCGCACACAAAACTCCTTACCCCTCCCTCCAACCTTTCCTAGGCCGACCCCCCTACCCACTTCCTTCCACTCAGACTGATACACTCTTGATGTCACTCTGTTTTGCTCCATTCTCTCTACTGTCCAAACACCTCATCAACCTTCTAGCCTTGGACAACAGTTTAGGTAATCCCGCACTCCTCCTAAACTTCCAAACTAGAATTCTCTGCATTATTTCACCACACACATTGCCCTCAGACAGGTCATCTCACTGCCTCAGCCTTCTCCTTGCTTGACAACATTCATCACACCCATGCTTCACACCCTTTTAGCAGCATT